TAAGTGTCCAGTTTAAGGGTATTACACAGAAACACACCACAGGAACATGAATCAAATGTGTACTTTATTCATTTACAATAAATTCATAATGTACATATCCCTGATTGAAGCTAAGGGCATACAACTGTCTAACAATAGCTACCATTGCCATGGCTGTATCCACCACTGTCATGCACAGCGACCATCGTAGCCGCTGCCACCACTGTCATAACAACCACCACCGCTGCATAATCCTCCGCCCCCACCATTACTTTCTTTTAACTATGCCTAGTTGACGGTGATGTTTCTGTCGTCAAGAATTTTCCCTCTAGATCTACCGATCTAGAAAATGACGAACCCAAACCCTCTACATCTACCAATCTCACGATCACCAATTATCTTTGGTTCTAGAATTTCACCATAGGGACTAAAAGCTCTCGAGAGAAAGAGAGAGAGAGAGAGAGAAAGAGAGAGAGATTGATTGTCAGTGGCTCAAAGCATTGGTACTCTTTTATTTAAGAAAGTAGTCTCTGAACCGAGTTCAACAACCCTAGTTTGGCCGCAACCCTTTTCTAACATTGATCCATCCTATTTTGGCGATTACTAGTTGAACGTTCAAGAACCCAAGCAACAGTGAAGATGAAACAAGGGGGAGAGGGAGAGAGAACGAAAGGGAAGGAGAGAGAGAGTGTGTGTGTGAGAGTGGAGTCGAATGTGGAGGAGGCTAATGCARCGGCAAGTTAAGGACCGAACCAGTTCGATTTGCTGTTGAAAGGAAGAAGACAATAAGGGTAAAATTGGGTTTTAAAAAAATATACATCACTTGTATATGAATTTAACGGAATATTAATGGGATGCAAACAGTAAGGGTAGATCTAATCAATTGTCAGAAATAGTAGGAGTAGCATTAGTCAATTTTCAAATAGTAGGGGTACACTTAGTCAATTAGCTAAACCATAAGGGTAGTTTAAGAAACTTACCCTTCATTTGTTTGGGCATCATATCAATAAGCAATTATTCATGTTTGGGAAATAAGTCTAAATAAGTTTTTATTTTGACACTTTAAAAAAAAGTGTTTATTTTGAGAATGAAAGCTTATTCAAAAAGTTTAAAATTTTAAGTTTTTTTGGTATTCAAATTTTAGTTTATTTTTAAGTATTAGTAAGTGCTTTGCATGTGGTAATTCTATATGATGAAAATGATAGTAATAATGCATCTAAAAATTTTTATAAATTTTATGTATTTTTTATTTTTTTTATTTTTTGCTTTTTATTATTAATCAAATGCAGATTGTAAAATCTAAATCTAATTACATAAACATCTCATCCAAATATGTGATAATCATATTGAGTTGTAAAGTTTCAAGTATCATTGATAGGCCTACCTACTTGGCTATATTCTTCTTTTTGGTGTATCCTATTTTTAATTTGTTCATTTGTCATAAACGGTAAGATTTAAATAGAGGGAATTGAATGAGGTAAAAAGTAGTAATTCAATTTACAATTTAAACTTCACAATTAAATGGAGACTAAATTAAAAAATGAATCAATTTTAAAATATATGGATTTATACTATAAAAAATATTGGCATAGATCTAATTAGTAGCATTTATTAGTGAAGAATAACTTAGAAATGTAGGATTTAATAAGAGAAAATGGATTTAATACCTTAAGTATAAGACTTAATTAAAAGATATTAAATGAGGTGAAAAGTAATAAGTGAAGTTACATTTTCAACCCTTACAATTAGAGATGGATTAAATACACAAGTATGGATATTCTAATCATCATTAAAGCTATCATAAAAGTACTTTTATACCATTTCTCAAGCAAAGAAATATAGGGCAATTTTAGTCAAAAAAAAAATTCCACACTACATTCACACTTTTATATATAGTATAGATACTATATACTATATAAGTCTTTATTCAAAAATTTATTACCACAATAATCCATGGTTATATTCCAAAATGCCAATATTTCCCTTCGATCGAATAACATAGGGTTTAGCTTTGTTCGACGACGGTTTCTCCTTCATTCTTCTTCACTTAGATTCCACACCAATGGCAAAACTATTCCAAGCTTGAACCAGAGGCTTGTGCATTCAAGTTGGTGAAGGCTTCTTCTCTTGTTTTTTTTTTTTCATTTTCTCATCTTCAACCAAAAAAAAAAAAATCATTGCATGCGTCCAACCCTAACTGTTTTTTCCTGTGAAAACCAGCATATCTAATCAATCTTTGCATCCAAATTGGCGAATAGTCCTATCTAATCTTTTTTTTTTTCATTTGTTCAATCAAATAGTGAACATGGCATCCAACCTTGTGATTTTTTTTAATGGAATGTCATTGTTGCTACCTGGAATGGGCCAAGGGCAACAATGTAAGTTCACTTCTAAGATGAGGGCTGGTTGACGATTCCGAGAGCTGTTAAAACCGAGGGCCTATAAGTCTGACCTGTGAAGGAAGAAGCATGTTAAAGGCCTCGTGTGTGATCCCAGGGGTGGAGACTCCAATGGTCAAATTAGCAAGGACGTAATGAGGAGGGCGGACGAGGCCTGAGTAAGGTAGCTCAGACGAGGTCACCAGGGAGCTATAGAGCTGAGAGCAATAAATGCCAAGATACTTTACCTCATGGTGATGCTACTTATTTATACTTGAACCTGCTTGGAGTTATTTATGAGCGAACGGCCAGGATGCGATATGCCCTATGCCGTGCGTCGCCATCTAGGGATGCCATGTGTGCACCTGCCATTGAACCTGCCATGTGCGCCTACATCAGTCATGAAGCCATTTATTTATTCTATGC